ACTGTATGTAACGTTGTCACCTACGAGAACGCAATAATGTCACTAATGAGTTAAGCTATTACACAGTTCAAACATTCATTTTAATGCAGCGAGCGTCATATCAGTTGCAGTGAACAATGAAAAGGCAAACGGTCTTCATTAAATATATATTTATAATATATAGTACGATGCTTTGTTAAGTTACATGCATAAAACAGTCTTTAATTAGGGCGATCCGACGTTTCGGACCAAGCTCTGTCCGTCAATAATATACATAATATATGATATAAAGGAAAAGTCTTTAAAATGGTTTATCAGTCAACTTTTCAGCGCGAATGAAACACACCACGTTGTACTTCATGCCTATGTGTACAGTGATTACCGTTCCACCGTCGTTCGTAACGTTGGTGTCCGGGTTAATCCATTTTCCGGGAGGCAGGTATAGCCGATAGTTCACTTCGTTGCTGTGCAGGAAGGCAGCGACGATCAGGTCATTACCAATCATGAACTGATGATTGTAAGTCAGCAATGAACTCCTGTCCTTGGCAAACCACCATATCGGTCGCATGACGGGGTCGCCGAATAATCGGTTTTGCAAGTAGGCCTTGTGATAGTGCGGTAGTACGTACTTGTCCCTAATTGGTTTGTAGTAGTTAAGGTTCTCGTAAAATATTGGGTTGTGAATGATCGACGCCGGCACCCTCAGCATTGGCATCACCATCGCCAACTGGAGCCAAGAACGCAGTCTGTTTCGCTGTTGTTCGTCCATCGACGCATATTCGGGTATGTTGCTGTCCAGTTGAATGACGAACATGTTGTATCCCTGCAAACTTGCCGCCAGCAGCATAGCGATGACGTTTCGTTCGTGCTCGAGAGTGGTGGGTATGTTGATAAACAGTGGAACAGTTTGTGTACCGTATGCCACGTCAACTATCAGGCCCTTGGCGATGGACCACGCGACGTCGACGTACGCCGTCGAATACAGATTCAGGTTTCCTAGGGTGACGTTCAGGGTTGATTCGACGGGCAGCGAACTAGCGGAGCCTCCGTAAAATGCCACGTAGTCGACCAACGCGTAAAGTGGATTTTTGCACACCTGGTCGGCGTACCAGCATCTCACCTTCCATTTGGTGAAGTCCAACACGAAGCACGTCTCGTTGCGTACTTGCACTGCCCCGATGCTCGATCCGTTGTGCTGACTGACCAGCATAGTCACGTCTATGAATTCGTTCTCGACGTCACGAATGCGCACATAACAGCCGAACTCTGCGGCAAAAAATGTATGGTTTGTGCGACAGGCAGCAATGGTGCGGCTGATCGCATTCATGTCCAGTTTTTGGAACAGGTCGACCTCTTTGATGAGGTACATCGCCTTAATGGGCAGCCGGAGGTTGCGCATCGTCTGACATACCTTCATGAGGTTGTGCGACAGGTTTCCTTGTGAGTCGATGTCGATGTCGATGATCACGCTGCCAATGGTCGGAAATTCCTTTTCTATATCGTCAGCAGAACTCGTCGTTTGAAGATACTGCTCGCGACTTCTGATGATGTCTACCACGTCTCTGGCACGGCATACTTTGTACATCAAGTAATTGGCAGTTTTGTCGGACTTAAAGCACAGTTTGTTGGTCGTCTGGTTCGTGTAGAATGGAATTTTACGACTGATCGATATCGCGGCACTGTGAGACGAGAACCAGCTCGGTTCGAAGATGCCGATCACGGAATCGCCATGCCACCTGGCACTTCCGGTCAAACCCATGTGATAAGGAATGTGACGGAAGCGGATTGGCCAGTTCTCGTCCGTCCGAATGATTCCGCCGAACCAGTAGCCGCTGCTGTTGTCCACGTGCAAGCAATTGACGAATTTCACTCTTTCGAGGTCGGAAATTCCCATCCAGTTAATCGAGATGCAATCGACATAGTCATTCAGC